ACAACGGTCAAATCCACAGCGGATCCTGGGGACGGCACAGGGCTGGGCAGCATTCTCCTTCATTCTGCACAGTGTTGCCATGACAAGGGGCTGACTTGATGGCTGCTTACAATAACAATATTGTTGAGGCCACAAAGGCTGAGAAAAAGTCTGAAGCTCAATTTGTAGGAGCAGCTACTGGGGCTCAGATTACTGTTGTTGTTGTTATGTGCCATCAAGTCAGGCACTTCACTGCTAACTGAAAGATCAATGGTTTGCACCCACCAGCTGCTCTGCAAGATGAAGATGTGGCAGTCTGCTTCCATAAAGATTTACAGCCTTGGAAACCCTGTGGGGCAGTTCTACCCAATCTAGTAAGGTTGTTGAGTCAGAATTGACTCAATGGCAGTGGGTTTTGGTATTTTTACCAAGAAACCTGTCAAGTCTTTATTATTTGTGTTGGTTCTATGTATTTGAAATGCTTATTGCTTTATTTTCCATCAGTGTTGGACTAGGTTTCAAAAAAATTGCCATTATATGATATAGCAGTATAATACATTCAGTTTTTGATGAGATTTTCAAATTCTGTTAAAAAAATAATATCAAACCATTAACATTCTGCAGTGTTTTATAGCTTTCTCAGAACAGAACAGAACATGATACTAGTAGTTCAGTAGTTAAGGCACTTGGCTGCTAACCAGAAGGTGGGTGGTTTGAACCCGTCAACCACTCCGCAGGAGAAAGATGAGGCAGTCTGCTTCCATAAAGATTTACAGTCTTTGAAACCTTATGGGACAGTTCCACCCTGTCCTGTTGAGATACGATGACTCAGAATTTACTAGATGACAATGGATTTGGTTTTTGGTTTATTGAAATATATAGGCCTGTCAAAAATAGAATGGGTGGAATTATGAAAACATCTAACAAATATATTGGGATATTGTTTTTCTGAATCTTAACATGATAACTAAACTTTGCTGTTATAACATGATGTGGGATTTTTTTTTCTCTCACCATGTACAATACTAACATTCTGTTTTAATGCAGCTTTTTCACCTTGTAAACAGTGAACTTTATACAGTACATGTTGCTTGACAAATGTTACTTTAAACATAAAGAAATATGATTTATTTGATGGTAAACATCATATATTTGATTTCATACATTTATAATTAGTGGATGTTGCTATTCTCTTTTCGTTGTTGAACATTGAAGATATGTTTGGCATTGGCAAAACTTAAAAGCCTTTGCCTTGGGGCATTCTCTGGAAACTGACTTCCTATGCTGTTGAGTCCCATTATCTTCATTGCACAGATTTCTGGTCTCTGTTCCTCTCTGTGTCTATGTGGCGAACATATTCACTTTTTCTTCCTTTCTTTCTTTCTTTCTTTTTACCAGAGCTCCTTTTCCCTCTTCTGTCTAGAGTACTGAATTTCAAAAAAATAACCTGTATCTTCAATTAATTGTTGCATTTTTTTTTTCTAGCTATTAATATAGGATACGTTTCAGAGTTAATAGCTATCTGGAAAAGAAGAGAACAATTAGTCAATTCCTACATTATCCTCTATTGAAATGTTACATGAGAGATTAATATATTTGTTCCCAGCTAAATAGTTTGCTTTGAAGATCGCACTCTCACTGCCTTTGAGTTGATCCCAACTCATAGCAACCACTTCTTGGATTTACGAGGCAGTATCGCTACGCAGTTCAAACCCACCAGCCACTCCTCAGAAGGAAGGTTGGGCAATCCTACTTCCGTAGTGATACTGCCTCGGAAACCCAAGGAGGGGTGGCTATGAGTCGGGTCTGACTCCATGGCACATAACAACAACAACAACGCTACAGAAGTAGATTGCCAATTTTCCTTCCAAGGAGTGGCTGGTAGGTTTGAATTGCCAGCCTTCTGGTTAGCAGTCAAATGCCTTAGGCACTAATAATAAATATCATGTTTCTATTTTAAAAAGTAACCTATTAAGCATAACTATCTGAAGAATAGGTTTAGTCTTATATTCTTTATTAAGACATATATGACTAAATATTAGTTTTTCATTGTACTACAGATTATTTAATTGTTGTTTGGCTGTTTTTGAAACAAGTACTTTAATCTCATCTATGTATCTGTAGAGTTGGCATTCACATGGATTTCATAAGTAATATGTCTTCCTATATATAATACAATTGTTAACAACTCTGTTTCCTTATAATTTTCTGACCGCAAAATTATGTTTGTTTTAAACATATGAAGAAATGCTCACGATCATTAGCTATTAGAGAGATGCAAATCAAAACAACAATGAGATACCATCTTGCTCCAGCACTAGTAGCAAAGTTCAACAAGACAGAAAATAACAAATGCTGGCGAGGTTGTGGAGAGATTGGGACTCTCATACACTGCTGGTGGGACTGTAAAATGGTACAACCATTGTGGAAAGCAGTATGGCGACTCCTTCAAAAGTTGGAAATACAAATACCATTTGACCCAGCCATCCCATTACTAGGTATATACCCTAAAGAAGTGAGAGCCATAACAAGAACAGATATATGCACGCCGATGTTCATCGCAGCACTATTTACAATAGCCAAAACTTGGAAACAACCTAGATGTCCAACAACTGAGGAATGGATAACCAAACTTTGGTACATTCACACAATGGAATACTATGCAACGCTAAAGAATAATGTAGAATCTGCAAAACACCGCATAACGTGGATGAACTTGGAGGACATTATGCTGAGCGAAATAAGTCAGTCACAAAAGGACAAATATTGTATTAGTCCGTTATTGTAAAAGTTAAGGAAATGTTTATATATTGGAGGACATTTTCTTTGTTGGTTACCAGGGGTGGGAGGGAAGGGGAGGGAATGCTGTTAGATAGATAGAGATAAATATTGATTTGGGTGAAGAGAAGGGCAATGTACCAAATGTGAGTGACCAATATGGCAGCATTGAGGATGAGAAAGACAGAGAGAGTTACATGGGCAGTACAAACAACAAATATGAACCCCTTTGTAAATACAATACTGAGTTGTTAATGAAAGCAAACATGGGTATAGGGACGGATAGATGGGTGAACAAGCTAAACAATTATGTATGTCTAAATGGAGAGTGTATCCAAGATCATATACAGGGTTGGCAGACAATGGGCCTCTCGAAGAGTATGAAGGGATGGACACTGGGAGCAGGTAACTATGGGGAGGAAATGGGAAGGGAGCTGCTGCATTGTAAATTTTGGTCAATGACATGAGACAAAGTATATGTGAACTGCTGTATGAAAAGTGAATTTACTCTGTAAATCTTCACCCAAATCCTAATAAAAAAAAAAAAAAATTATGTTTGTTTTGGAAATGGATAAAGTTACAGAATGTTCAGTAGCTAATTAAGAATGTTTTGTAAAGGGAAGTTTTTTGGGTTTTTTTTTTTAAAGTATTGTTGATGTAAAAATTTATATAACAAAACATTTGCCAATTCAACATTTTTCAGGTGTACAATTTAGTTGTATTAATTACATTAATCATAAAAGTGCCTGTGAGAAATCTCCAAGTACTAGTCTTAAAAACTGTCACTTCTTTTTTAAAAAAAGTAGATTTTATAACCCTAGGCTTATCTTTATTCACCATTCTTTACCAATTAAAGTTTAGAAATAGCTTAAATACAATCTGTGACCTTGGTTTATTATATAGCCTTAAAACAGAAAATGTCCTCTTGTATTTCAAGAAGTGGGTCTTTTTTAGGTTAGAAGACAATTTGTAATGCTTACTAGCTAAATGGTAAATAATGGACTCTTTCAGTAACCACCAGGAACCATTTACAGTTTTTAAAGCTTTTTTGTTTCTGCATACAACACAGGGCTTGCAAATTTTTTATAACCATTTTAGAATTGTAAAATTCTTGAACATTAAGCAAACAGGATAACCCAAAGCAAGAGAGAAACATCAGAGCACAACTCACCAATCCTGGCTGTTGGACAGATGGCATCAGCATATTTCTGTCATACTAGGATTGGGTTTTATTTGAATGTCCACCTCAAATAAGGTCTAACACCATTACTTTCCTGTTCATAAATTCCTAGCTAGATAAAAGCAGTGAACTCTCCTTTTGCATATTTAGAGTTTTAAAAATGAACCACGCTTTTATGTTTTTGTTTGCTTGTTTTACATTATGCTATATTCTGGGATCGCGTTGAATAACTATTTCTGAGGTGTAGACTTTGTCTTTCATATTTTGGTCATATCAGAGGGGACCAATCCCTGCAGAAGAACATTATCCTTGGTAAAGTTAGAAGTCAGCGAAAATAAGAAAGACCGTCAATAACATGGATTGACACAGTGGCTGTGACAAGGGATTCAAAAATAGCAATGATTGTGGGGAAGGTCCAGTACCAGGCAGTGTTTTGTTCTACTTAGGATCACTATGTGTCAGAACCCACTCAGCAACATCTAACAACAATAGTTTCATAGAATTTGTATGACTCTAGCTTCAAAAATTCTAATCTTGCAAAGCTGTCCTGAAAGTAATCTTAAAAATTGGAACTTAACATTTATTCTGCTTGCATTACTACATTTCATTAAGAGTGAGTTAATGTTAATCCTCCTTTTCCATGTTCTTTTAATAATTTTAGTATTACTTTAATGTAAGCGATGAATATATCTCAGTGTTGGAATATGTGTTCATATATACATATCAAAAACAGAAGGAATTAAACTAAAATCAATTCAACTCATTTATTATATTTAGCTTTAAATTTGTTCATGTTTTTTTCTTGCTTGTATCATCTACAAAGGATTTGTTTTTAAAAATATCAAGAAACAATATACCAGTAGGAAATCTTGGAATATGCTGTGATTCAATGAAAAATAAAATAAATTGACTAAATTATGAACATGTAGATACGCAGCATACATAAATCTTAACTTCATTAACCTTTATTGCTCTTTTTACATTTCTTCTATAATGTCAACTGTATTGTTTCTTAAAATTATTATTTCCCAAGTTTAAGAACACTTGTTTTCATACTTTGCAGGTCAGTTTCTTCTGGAAGAAGCTCGTCTCTTAGAAGCAGCGGAGATGGCAAAAAAAGCAGCTGAACTAGACAGCACAGAGTTTGATGTTGTCTTCAATGCTGCCCACATGCTTAGGTTAGTCTTTGTTATTGCACTTTAAAGACCAAAGCCCTGAATTAGAGTAAGCAATTCTCCAGGCATTTCCTTTAAAGAAAATTTAGGGGTTTGAATTAATAAGTGTTTCTTTTCTGCTACTCAGAGTGAATTAATTACACCAGTTTCCCTATTATTCTACCTTGTTCCCTGTGCTTAAAATGAATTATGCTTCACCATGTAAAAATCACTCAGCAATTTTTAATATATATATTCTATATGTACAGTTCCTTGTGCATATGAGCTGACTAGAGTTTTTACAAATTGTTGAGACACTCATCTCCTCCCCTCAAAACATTTTTGGACATAAAATACAAAAATAAAAAATCTCTGAAATTGAAATTGGTGTATTTAATTAAAGGGCTATAACACAAAACATTTTGTCAGTTAACTGCTTCTCAACATTTGTGTAGTTTTATGAATTATGGTCAATATGGCGTGTAGGTTCATTTTAATATGTTTGATAGTGGAGAAGATTATCAAATACAAATCTATTTAAGGCCTATCAGATTCTTAAAATGATCCTGTAATTAGTATTACTATAAAATATTGAAACAATATGTTTTTAAACCTTTAGTGCTTCTATTTCAGAAAGGTTATTCTGAAGGCTGACTACAATAATAGTAAAATAAGATAAAAAGGCAAATCAACTGTATTTGTTATGAATATAAAAAAGACAGTGCATACAGAAACAATATTTTAGGTTATGGGTGGAATTTTTTAAGAAACTCAGATGATCTATATGGTTATTTTGGAAGCATTATTTGTTTTCTTAGTGTCAAAGGGGAAGGGAGGCCCCATCTTCTGACCTCCTCTAACCCCACAAGAGGAAGACAGAATCACCATCAGTAGCCAAAGGCCTGTTCCTGCCAGGCCAGACATGCTGCCTCCCCCGCCAGCCCTTTCATCAACCCTGACACCAGCTGTTCCTCCCACAGCACCCACCACCTCTCTGCTGGGTTCAATAATTTGCTGCAGTGGCCACACAGAACTCACAGATTATGGGGTTTATTAGGGAAGCAACAGGCTACAATTCATGTTCAGGGACACCCTCAGTCTCTCTCAGCCTGCAGTCTCTCAGCCAACAGTCTCTCTCAATCTCTCTCCCAGCAGTGTGTGTCTCTTAGTCTCTCTCAGTGGTATGTATCTCTCAGTGTCTCTCTCAGCATTACATGTCTCTCACATCTCTCAGCAGTACATGTCTCTCATTTCTCTCACCAGTACGTGTCTCTCGTGTCTCTTTCTCAGCAATGTGTTCTCTCATGTCTCTTTCTCAGCAATGCATGTCTCTTGCGTCTCTCTCTCTCTCTCAGCAATGTGTGTCTCTCACATCTCTCAACTGGTAGGGAGATTTCTTCTGCCTTTAGGAGGGCTCTTTTGAGCCTGGGAGAGTGACCAAACCAACCAATCCCAGCATCAGAATTCTGTATACCTGAGAGAGAGAGAGATTCCCAGAAGATCACTTCATACCACTGGCAACAGAAATAACCCAGGTGGATAACTTTAACAATCAGGAGCTATTCAGTTGCTCACAGCAGATTCTACCATGGAGTTTACAAAGACTTATGGCTAGAAAAGCTACACTGTGGAATTTACTACACCACACTTAGCATATGCCTCTTCTTCCATACTCTTACCTGAATTTTACTCCATTAGGTCCCTACCAAATGCTACATTAGGTAAAGCCCATACTGTTGGTTCTGTGCTTGGCTTCTAAGAATTGATTTGTAATTATTACGAATTACAAGAGAAGAGAAATAATAGAGGAGATGGTTGAAATAGACAGCCTTTTAAAACATAAACTTGTCAAAAAAGTAGAATTATTTTTTAACCAAACTATTTACTTTTAGATCGTTGTAGATTCATATATAGTTGTAAGAGATAATGCAGAAACATCCCCTGTACTCTTTGCCCAGTTTTCCTCAATGGTAATATCCTGCAAAACTATAGTATAATATCACAAGCAGGTTGTTGTTGTTAGGTTCCATTAAGTCAGCCTGACTCATAGCAACCACCTATACAACAGAATGAAACACTTCTGGCTCCCATCCAGCCTCACAATCCTTGCTGTGCTTGAACCCATTGTTGTAGCCACCGTGTCAGTCCATTGTGTGGAGGGTCTTCCCCTTTTTCACTGCCCCTCTTCTTTACCAAGCATGATAAAGGGACTGGTCTCTTCTAACAACATGACCAAAGTAGGTCAGGCCATTCTCACTTCCAAGGAGCCTTCAGGCTGCACTTATTCCAGGACAGATTTGTTCATTCTTTTGGCAGTCCATGGTATTTTCAGTATTCTTCACCGACATGGCAATTCAAAGGCATGAATTCTTCACTCTTTGTTATTCATTGCCCAGCTTTCACATGTATATGAGGCAATTGAAAATGACATGGTTTGTGTTACTCAACTCACTGCTGTTGAGTAAGAACCAACTCATAGTGACCCCTCCTTGGGTTTCCAAGGCATTATCTCTATGGAAGTAGATTGCCCAGTCTTCCTTCCGAGGAGTGGCTGCTGGGTTTGAACCTCCAGCCTTCTAGTTAGCAGTCAAATACCTTAGGCACTATGCTACCAAAATGACATCTTTGTACCTTAACACTTTAAAGAAGTACCTTGGCTGCAGATTTACCCAGTGTAATACAGTGTCAGCCCCAGGGTTACAGGTGAGGAGAGACAACTCAGGGACGCCCGAAGTAACAAGCGTGAAGAGCAGGAGAAAGGAGATTAAAAGCCAGGAAGCCAGAGAGAAGAGCAGTCAGCCGAAGGGATTAGGTGAGGAGAGGCAACTCAGGCCCCCCCAGAGTAGCAGGCCGGGAGGGCAGGAGAAAGGGGATAAAAAGCCAGGAACCCGGACAGAGGAGCAGTCAGCCCCAGGAACAACTTGGGGACACACAAAACAGCAGGGCAGAAGAGCAGGAGAACAGGGATAAAAAGCCAGAAACCTGGACAGAGGTACAGTCAGCCACAGGGACCCAGTTGGGGGTGATACAAGAGATCTCCAACAGCAAGACAAACTTGTCTGTTGGTTTGTCCTACTGGAGTGACACGTAGACTTTGAGTTTTGAGGCTGAGCCTCTGGTGTTTAAAACCCAG